TAGCTGCTTTTGACAACCTCTGCAGCTCCTCATATCTTTGATCATCATCAAGGTCTAGCAATTGCTCTAATTGTTTACCAACAATTGAATTTGTTAAAATATGTACAGCTGTCTGGACAGCATCTCCGGATTGTAAGGGGTCAGTGTTTACCTCTACGTCCGCCATTATCTGCTATTTAGAAATTAAATAGGAGATGTAAATGTTTAGGTGGTAAAAGAAAATCAGAAAAATCTCTTTTTCCTGATAAGTTTACTCTTATTTAGTGATTTATCAATTAAACGTGCGTTATCTTCTAGCAAATGAGTAAACTTTTTCCAACTTTGTGAATATCTGTAACTGTATCTTATTTAAAAGTTTCTAAATTTTTATTTTGTACCTGTTTCTCAAGGATTTATCAGTGAATAAAAATTTGTTCGGTAAATGCTCTCTGCATAAATACCTTCATAACTTTTAAAATGCAAGATAACAGAGGTTATTCAACTTTGAGGAACGGTTAATAACTCAAAAATGCCTTTAAAAGAAAACACGTTTAATTTCACTAAAATAACCTAAAAACGAAGTGAAACCTGTGATCCCACGTCTTCTCCAGAAGATGTCAGTACAACCTCAACAATTTTAACTCCGACACTGTTTGTGTTGTCCACTAGGGGAGCTACAACTTCCTGTGGCGTTCGGTTGACATCCTGTTGCTAGCCGCTTAGCTTAAAGTTAGCTTCGGCTAACCTCGGTTAAAATCAACATTTCTGAACGGATATTTTACACAAACGTGGCAAAATTTTATCAATTAGACTTCGAACAACCTAAACACCGTGTCAGAACACAGCTTTGCAGCGCTTTTCAGCTTAAAAAAGCAGATTTTATTCCCTACGAAAAAGAGTTTCCAATTCCGGGTCACGTGACTGAAATCACCAATGAAAAAGCAGTGCAGGGTTGAGAGGAAGTTACGTAGGCACGCATTCACCCTCCTCAGCAAATCAGAGCGCTCCACAACAACGATATTCAACCAACCACGAAACGTTAGCAACAACCAGCATGCTAGATTAGCATAAAATCAGTTCGTCACTTTTTTCGTCTTTTAAACTGTCAAAATGCACTTTTTCTGTTAAAAATGTAACGAATCAACTCTCTGAGCTGCACGGAGACGGCGCTCCGTGACAAAACGTCATTCTAGCTATTTAAACAACTCGTCCGAATTTTCCAGAACCGAGCCGGTCCAGAACCGAACCTCCCGTCCGTTTGGACCTCAGTTTAAACAGAACGCAGCGTTTTTCACAGCTCATCAGCTCTTAGTTAACATAACAGGCGTACAATGTCAGCTTTCACAAGACTCAATGACACAATTTCAGCTTCTAACATCACTAGCCCAACGCTTAGAACATGCAGCGTTTCGCTTCAAAGGCGCAGCTCCAGCACGCTGCGTAAACATGCACTGTTTTGAACTGTTATTTTTTATCATGCCAACACGTAAAATCAATGTTTACACGGTTACAGTCCATTTACGAGCACGTGACGGGCCACCAATATGTAGATGAACAGATGCTCAGATATATTCATCATTTAACGCGGATTCCTCATTTTTCTGGACTGAATAAAACGTGCATTGAATTTAAGGAAATGCAAACGTGAGACGTCATTTATATTTGACCCATCAAAATGAATGCGGTCATTTATTTACAGAATCAAAATTTAACATCAAACATTTACATTAATTTGGCAAATTATGAAAATAACAACATAAGCAATCAATCAGGAAAAATCATACGGCCATGATTTTTCCGTTGCTTCACCACAGACATTTATGAAACTGTACAATTATGATCTTTTACCCACACGGATGTGGATGAGCATTTTACACAGACATTTCTAAATATCTGGAAGTATATCTACTTGATAGAAAGTTTAAAGATGGGAAAGAAGTTTAGAGGGAGTAAAGATGGTATGGGAGGGGAAGTGTTCACCAGAATTGACACTCTCCATCAGAACCCAGCTCTCCCCGGTACGCTTGGTAGGAAACTTGACTCGTTACCTTTCTGAGGTTATCTCAGCAGATATGGAGCTCCGTTAACGCTACCTGTCCAGCGTCTCCTTAGGATGCTGTGAATCGTCAGAAGTAGTGGCGAGTAAAAATGTTATAATCCCATGGAACTCGGAAGAGCTCTGTTGTCATGTCAGGATCATCCCGTCTCTCACAGAACTGGGCTTCTCTCACAGAACTGGTTGGACTGTGTATCCAGCAGAACTCCAACAGCACTCCATCAGAACTGAACAGAACTGTCCCAGAACTGTTCCAGCACCATCCCAGAGCTTCTAACAGAACTGTGTAGTTTACAGATCTCGAGCAGAGCCAGAACTGTTAGACCAGGAAGTACCGACATTTTAAAGATCTCTTTTCCGGTCCATCTGGGAGTATTACCATTGGTCAGAACCGACCAGACGGGGTGTGTTTTGTGACGTAAGAGGTTAGAAGACAGCAAGAATTGTTATGGAAAGATCAGAAATGTTCTCACAGACAGAGAGAGTTTTGTTTTGGCGCGTTTCAGAAACAGGTGCCAAAAACCTCTATATTTATGTCTGAGAGGATTCTAAAAACATGCCAACAACTTGTTTTGCGTTTGACTCCAACCTTGGACCAACTTACACTTGCTCATTCAAAAGCAGAAATCAGAAAAGGCATAATTACTCTGTAACAGCTTTGACATGAGTTCTAATTTTGCGTGAGAAAAAATCATTACACAGTTAATAAAATTGATTAGTTCACTGCAACATCTAAAATGGTTTGAACTAAGACACTTTGATTATCAACATTTGTAAAATAGTAATGATAATAAAACAGAGAGTGTTCTTTTCACTTAAATCTTCAAGAGAGAAAGTCTCAGGATGGGTGAACCTGTATTTCTGGATTCAAATCAATGAAATGACAGTTCCTGTCCCACAAGGTTCTTAAGGTCAAGATTTTTGACCTTAGACTTAGTTTTTGACATGGGCCTAGTCCACTACATTCTCCTCACAGGAGCCTCTGACCCTGAGGAGAACAAACAGACAAAAGAAAAGCGAGGGGGGGGGGGGGGGGACAGGAGTCAGGACAGTCACAAACTTTGTTGTTAAAAGTTTGCTGCTTTTTCTACAGTGGAGGATCCAAGGTGGAGGTAAGCAAAAATTAAAGGATATTGTTGACCAGTTAAGCTTTTATTTTTCAGCCTAGGTAACGTTTTTTTGAGCAATAATAACACAACCATGTTATTGTTGATGTTTTGCGTTCTAATGTCAATTAGAGAGATGATAAGAGCACTAAACCCCAGGGAACCACAGAGAAGATTCAGGCAGAGACACAGAGGTGCAGATGCCTGCCATCAACCCTAGCCTCAGTGAATCCAGTGACCTGGTGGTGGGATGTGAAGGACACTATGCCAATGCTATCAAACTGGACAACCAGGTCCACAACCATCCACACCCTCAGAGCAAACATTTTCTACTGCTGGAGACACCATCAGCCAGGAGTGAGCTTGTTTGTGTCTAGAGAAAGCAGACATGTTGATTTTTCTGAAGAAAAACTGCTAAGTGAAAAGGTCCTCAGTGTATAGCAGTGAGCATTAGACACTGACATGTCACTTGTTATTTGCAACTGTTCTTTTGAACTGGAAATTATTTGTTTATTTTTATGTAAGAAAACTGCTTGGAATAGAAATACCAAAGTTAAAAAATAAAACTCACAATTTGTACTGTAATGTGTAACGCAATTTTATTCTTGTTAGAATTAATAGTAATTACAAAATTGATACCGAAAAAAGAATCGTTCAGAAACCGACACCGAAGTGAAGGTACCGACACAGGTACCGATTTTTTTAGAAAGGTACCCAGCGTACCCGCCAAGGACTCCAAAAAGGCAGGATATTCTGAACTGCCATTTGGCGCGTAGGCACAAACAACAGTCAGAGCCCGTCCCCACACACAAACGCGCAGAGAAAGCACCCTCTCATCCACTGGAGAAAACTCTAACACACAGGCACCAAGTCGGGGAGCTAAAAGTAGAGCCACACCAGCTTGGCGCCTCTCACCATGGGCAACTCCAAAGTCGAACAAGGTCCAGCCCCTCTCAAGGACAGGGCCCATGCTGCGCATTGACATGAGCCACGTACCTCTCAATCGCACGTAAAAGCTTAGGCTCCTTCCCTGCCAGAGAAGTCACGTTCCATGTCTCAAGAGCCAGATTTGTTAAGTCAGGGTCAGAGCACCAAGGCCACCTTCAGCCCCTCCTGCAAGTGGTGGGCCCACAGGAAGGCAAACCCATGTTGCTCCTTCGGTCTGAGCCCGATTGGGCCCCATGGGTAGAGACCCGGTCACCAGGTGCCCACCAACGAGCCCCTCCCCCAGGCTCAGCTCCAGGGTGAGGCCCTGGTAACCCATGTCTGGGCAAGGGACACTGAGCTCCTTGTTGTTGTTTGTCCCTAAAAAGTCTTCAGAATCGCTTAAATTAAAATTGCCCCTGACAGCATAGTTCCAAGGATCATCCAGGTGCGCAAACTGTGGCAATTCAAGGAGGAGATCATAATTTGTCTTAATTTTTACTTGTAAAACTAAAAATGAAACTAACAGGCAGAGTTTCACACAGTTTGTTGATTTGTATCTGTAACCACACCTTCCCAAAAATATTTGTAACATGTAATTATTTACTAATACAATTCTTTTATACACACACAAATTACTATCTACATAGCACACTTTTTTACAAGGTTATAAAACGGATTTGCAAGCATAAAATATTTATGATTGAAATTTGTGTCCATACCTAACAGTTGAAAAGTAAAACAACAGTCATAGCCCTGTTTTTCTCAGAACTACCATCCACACCCAACTGACTTATTTTACACTAAGAGCAGAGAAGGAGGAGTTGTAATCTAAGCCTCTGCAAGTTCAGTGGGGTTGGGCCAATGGAGCAAACAGTGTGCTTTTATCTTTCTGTTTACAGGCACGTGTTTTTATGTGGATGAGTGTTACTCACGTGGCTGTGTCTGCGTCTTTGTCCAGCAAACTCCAGCTCTCCGAAAGCATCAGTGGGATATTCAGATGAGTGCTGACTGCTGTCCCACTGCGTGACAATGGCTGCTCCAAAGGAGTCCCCTGTTGCCACCGAATCATGGACTTCCTGTGCACCACCACACTGACAGACACCACTATCACTGACACACAAACAAGAAAAACAAATAAAACATACGGACCAGAAATCTGTAGCTGATTGTTTGTCTCTAACACTTTGAAACATATTCAAAATTTTGGGGGTAAATGTGTATTTTTATTTTTAAGTTTAAATCGTGGCAGAGTGGTGGTGCAGTTGGTAGAGCTACCACCTCTCAGCGAGCAGGTTGCCCTGGTTCAAATCCCAGCCAGGGATTTTTTTTTTGGTGGAGTTTGTATGTTCTCTCAGTGCATGCTTGGGTTTTCTCCGGGTATGCCAGTTTCCTCCCACAGACCAAAAACATGCATGTTAGGCTGACTGGTAACTCTAAATTGTCCCTAGGTGTGAGTGAGAGTTGTTGTCTTGTTTGTCTCTATGTGTCCCTGTGATGGACTGGAGACCTGTCCAGGTGTCCCCTGCCTTTCACACAGTGCTGGCTGGACATGGGCACCAGTGACCCCCGCGACCCAAAAAGGAAGAAGTGGGTAAAGATGAAGGCTGGATGGTTGGATGGATGGATGAAGTTTAAATCGTTTTACAGTTTATACTTATTCAAAAAAGGAAATACTACATTCATCCTATTAAAATTCAAATAGCACATTAGCTGAGATGGCTGAATAAGTTAAGAAGGAATGAGAAGAGACAGACGAGATTCTACAAATTCGAAATGCTATGAGTTGAGATTCTCTATACTGAAAATGGGCAGTACATATACAGTACATACATATGTATGGTATACACATGTGCTTTGACAAAATAGGTAGTTTCCACATGGCAGAATATCAGTAAATAATCAGCTGTGTTTCGTTATATGTGGAAAAGATCTAAACAAAAAGTATAAAATGATAATGCCGGTGTAAAAATGCAGATTAAAAAGTTATCCATTTCACATAAAACTTTTCATTTAAAGCAGAAAATACAAAACAAAGACAAGTTTCTGTCATAATCTAACAAAGGTAAATCAGGTGGATTCAAAAAATAAAAGTAAAAAAAAAACAAAAAAAAAACTTTTTGAAACGTTTCGTCTTTAATCCAAAAGACTTTGTCAGTCTGAGGAGCTGTAATAAACTCAGTCTTACAAGCAGCACCTTCTCGGGGGTGTAATGGGGGGTGTGTGTGACCCTAGAAAGCTTTTTTTGTCGCAGGGAGTAGTTTTTTCTTTTTCTTTCACCATTCTCATTTTGTCACGTGTAATAGTAAAGTTATGAACAAATATGGCTGCCTTGTCGTATTGGGAGCCATGCATGAACCGTGTCTCTCCCCTCTGCTGCTGACACAATAAATAAACTCCGACTGTCACCTCCTCTGTCCTCTGCTGCTGTTTTTATGTCCATGCGCTCTGGACGTCACTCACAGTTCGCATGCAACAAAGTGTAAACTAAAGCGAGAGCGACACCTGCCCCCCTCCATACTTATATAGCGCCTTTCTATCTTATTTCAAGATATTCAAAGTGCTTTACACTACAATCTGTGTCCTCATTTACCCATTCATACAATACTCTACTAGATCTCTACAAAGCTAATTGAACAAATCATTCTAAAGAGACTAATCAGTGCTTTAGATCACATTCATACACTGATGGGACACACATCAGAGGCTATGAGGGGTTCAGTGTCTTGCCCAGGGACACTTCGACATGTGACTGCTGGTGGATTCAAACCCCCAACTCTCGCATTGGAGGACAACTGCTCTAACCACTCAGCCACAGCTGCCCCAGTTATGTTGGTGCTAAGATGGTCCCTTTGGCAGGCCCCCTCCTCCGGCGCCAGCCTTCTCCCTCGTCGACAGTCATGTCAAACTGGTTCAAAACCAACAAAGTCCATGCTCATCTTAGCACCAACGTAACTGGTTTGTTCCACTTTCGATTAAGCTGTTGGGGGAAGAATCAGTTTTGTGTTGTGTGTTTCCTTGACTGATGAAGCCTTCTGGATGGAAGGTGAAATGTTTCAGCACACAAAAAAAAAGAAATTGTCCAGATGACCTGACTGAAAATTGTTGGATGGACTGTTTCTTTTCACAAAGATGGCCTCCTTTACTCCTCTCTCAAACCATTGTTCCTCTCTATCAAGGATGTGAACATCTTCATCCCTGAACGAGTGAGCACGGGCCTGGAGATGAGTGTAGACCACGGAGTTCTGGCCTGATGACGTTGAGCTTCTGTGCTGGGCCATCCTTTTGGCCAGTGGCTATTTAGTTTCCCCGATGTAAGACTGATCACAGCCCTCCTGACACTGAACAGCATACACAACATTACTCTGTTTGTGCCGGGGGACTGGATCTTTGGGATGAACCCGTCTTTGCTGTAATGTATTTGGGGGTTTAAAAGTCACTGGGACGTTGTGTTTAGAAAATAAACGTCTCAGTTTCTCTGAAACTCCCGCAACATATAGAATGACCACTGGTCTGGGTTCTTTCCTGGATTTCTCCTTCTGCCTGGCTCCTGAGTTAGTGGGGACGCTGTCTGCTCTGTGGTACAGAGTCCTGATGACTCCTAACTTGTGCTCCAGAGGGTGATGGGAGTCAAACTGCAAATACTGGTCTGTGTGGGTGGGTTTGCGGTACAGCTCGGTTTGCAAATGTCCTCTATCCGAGACTGAGACCTCACAGTCCAAGAAAGCCAGCCTGCCATTTTTACATCTTCTCGTGTGAAATTGATGTATTTATCCACAGAGTTGATGTGATCAGTGAAACATTGGACTTCCTGAGATTTAATTTTAACCCATGTGTCGTCAACATACCTGAACCAATGACTTGGTGGTGTCCCTGAAAAGGATGTCAAGGCTCACTTTTCTACCTCCTCCATGTACAGGTTGGCAACAATAGGAGAAACTGGAGACCCCATAGCACACCCATGTTTCTGCCTATAATATTGCTCCCCATATGTGAAGTAGGTTGACTGCAGGCACAGTTTCAAGAGTTGGCGCAGTTGTTTTGTGGAAAGCGTGGTCCTGCTGCTCAGTGTGGTGTCTGATTTTAACCTTAAACTGACCACCCTTTACTGCCACTCTGAGCAGCAGGACCACTAACGTCTCTTTGGAGCCTGGATCTTATTAGTTTTGATCCTACAATGCTGAAAAACAGTGAGCAGCACAAAAACACTCTGCTCTCTGCCATTTATTATAACTGTTGTTAGTGCAGAAAAACCTTTTACTGTAGCCGCCTGGAGTGCACATGTGCATCTTCACACTTGGAGCATTTCACACTCTGTGGGGGTTCCCCTAAAAATCTCCACTCTGACCTGGATTCAGAAACCTTCAGTTTCAGAGAGAACGAGGCTGTTGTCTGTAAATGAATGGCGAACTGCAGCAGAAAAACTGCAGTTTCACTCAAACGCGTTGTGTGAACGTGTCTGAAATTTTTGCTTGTTTGATGTCAGATTCATCAGTATGAGTGTGTCCGTTCAGTAGAACCAGTAAAACCATTACAGGAATTAATTAAATACTGGATATTGGAATAAATTCAACATTACAGTAGTCTCTCATTTATCGTGGGGGATCCATACCCTGATGCCCAGTGATAAGTGAAAAACCGCGAAGTAGGAATAGTAGTACAAGGAGTAAGTA